CCAATCAGCAAGTTTAATCAGAAGCTCAATGCATCAAATATTTTGCAATGAACACTTCAGCCTGAGTTCAGATAGCAACAATATAACCTACTGAAGGTAAACTCAGCATGCTCTCCAATACTACAGCTGGGATACCATGAACAGAAGATTTCAGTGCACACAGCAGTGAAACTCAGCCGGAGTCAAACCCAGCAGCACCTGACATCCCCTAAACAAAAGCGGGGCTGCCTCCTGCATACCCTGCCTTGTAAAGGTGTCTCCACAACATGTAACAGCAACCTGCTGCTGGTTGGCACTCCTGCAGTTTAAGCCCATCTTGCAGAATTCAGCTAATACACCTTCATCAACACCACAGACAACAGCTGAGTCACCTTTCCAACCAAAATACATTCTCAATAAGGCAAATGTGCAAGTGGTGGTTCCTCATTTATTTGCCGGCAGTTTTCGGCCACCACTCAGGTATACTTGCAGTGAGCTTCACTTTATCACCTGCTACATTTAGGCAGAGTGGTTCATTTATATTAGCCAGCCTCAGCAAAGCTATGCCAAGTTCATCTCCTCCAGCCCGGAACTTGCCAGCTGCCTTTCCTGTTTCAGTCAAGATTTCAGCACCCTCAGGAACGCTCTCCTCAGGAAGAGGAACTGAAAACCGCACGGGCACCAAACGCTTGCGAATGACACCCATGTGGTGGGTCCTGGCTGTTAGCTCCTGCCCGATGTAACAGCCTTTGGTAAAGCTGACGCCGTTCATGTAGGCCAGGTTGGATTCCAGTGGAAGGGCTACTCCGGGAGGGAGATCTTTCACACCTTCAGGAATTCCTAGGGAAAGAAAGGAAATACAGTAAGATCTCTGGCATTTGAGATTTCTGGAGTATTCTTCCTCTGTGTTATAAAGCCAGAGGTGAGAAGAAGCAATGCGAAGCCATGAGCTTGCCAGTACTCTGGTCTGGGTGTTAATACATCACAAGCTATAAACACACGGGGGTAGCAAAGATTATTTTAAAATGTAATTGGAAAAACTGCACTGAAACCTAATTTTGTGAAACTTATAGCACTTTACAGACATACTGGTGGAAATGCAAAGCACCCAGAGCCATACAGACTCCCACACAAAGACATCAACATTTAATGTCAATGGAAAAACAAACTGTTTTCGCCTGCATCCCACGGGTAGGCTTCAATGTCAGTCAGACTTATTTCCATGCAAGCAAGATGGCCAGCTGTCCTTGCTAAAGCTAGGAGCGCTCCTTTTGTGGCCAGTGCTGGACCCAGGTTTGTGCAGTGTCACACAGAGGAGTGCTGGGACTCCTGGCAGGCAGCACACCACTGCACTGCAGCCCACTCTGACCCATTAACAGCTTGTTTTTCTGCACCAGATGGACTCGGGTCATGACCACCGTTTATTAGCAGAGGACCATCCTCTTTCAGTCTGCTAATGAATTTAATCCCCTGTCTGCATGGACACATTAAGATCAACAGCAGCTCTGCAGAGGCCTTCAGGATTGAGTTCCCTTTCAAATCAAACACACAGGCCTTGGCCTCTGAGTTAACTCTGCAAATCCAGCAGTACATTTTTAGGAATGCACACTGCGGTGTTTCATTTTCTTTCCTTAGTAACAAGGAAAACACAAACGGTGCATCGTTCCAAAATAATCAGAATGACTCAAACCACTGAAGTTTCTCTCTTAGCAAATGAATAGTTCTTGATTCTGTCACAAGGCAGAGCACTGGATTACTCACATCCTCAAAGCAGCAAAACTTTCTGCAGGTATTACGAAGTTAAACACACCAACGCACACCCCTGTGGCTTTCTAACCCACTGCCTCACATCAGAGTGTGCAGTTTGATCACAAGATCCTGATAATAAATTTACTTATCCCAAATCCAACAGCAGAGTACCAAACGGGACGTGGCTTTACCTTGCTTATACCTGTGCCTGTGGTAATCCTGAATGTTTTCAACACGACTTCCAGGGATAACCTCTGGTAAATCTGCTCCCGCCTTCACAATCAGTCTCCAGCCCATGACTTCTGCCCTGGGGTCAGGAGTTAAAACCAGAGCCCGCTCTGCACATTGTGCGAGGGAGCTGCTGATGTCCCCAGCCTGCTCCCCAGGGATGACGGCCCACAATGTGAGGTCCAGGCAAGGGCTGATGCTGACTTTCCTCCGGATCTTGTACAGCTTCAGATGTTTCTGTACGGCGTCCAGCACGCTGCTGTCACACTCCAGCAGGATGTGTGGCTCTTCTTCTTGACTCTCGTGAAGCCTTAAAAAAGCAACACCTACAAAGTCAGGAAAGCCAAACCCCCAACAGAGGAAGTACAATAAAAGGAGGGAGACTTCAGCTGGATACAAAGAAAGGTTTTTCATAATAAGAGTGCTGAAGAACCGGCACAGGCTGCCCAGAGAGGCGGTGGTGCCCCATCCCTGCAGGCACCCACGGTCAGGGGACGGGGCTGTGAGCACTGATGGAGCTGTGGGTGCCTGGGACCCCACGGCCTTCAGAGATCCAACTCAAATCCCTTCCAACTCAAACGATCCTGCGCTTCAAACAGGCTCTATTATCTCAACCCTGGTCTGAATCCGGCAAATGCCAGGGGCAGCGCTCGGCACCCTGTATCACAACACTCACAGCCTCTTTCAGGTTGGGTAAGCACACTGAGATCCCAAGGCCCGCCCGGTGGCAGTAAGGTGGAATTACGGCCTGCCCCTCCGCCCCCGGCCCGGCAATGCTCTCGCCCAGCTCCTCCCCCCGCTCTCACCTGTACACGAGAAGGTCGTACAGGCAGCGGCCCTGCACGTTGAGCGCATGCGCGTACAGCGCGCGCGGCGGCCCCGCGGGGCCCTCCCCCACCGCCACCAACCGCGTGACGTCGTTGGTGAGCAGCCCCTGCAGGAAAACGGCCGCCTCGGCGCCCCGCACGCTCAGCAGCGCCCGGCCCAGCGGGAAACAACGCCAGGCGCCGTCCCCGCTCCCACCGCGCCCCAACAGCCGCCGCAGCCCGGGCAGGCCGGCCGCCGCCCTCACCAACATGGCGGCTGGTTGTCAGGGGCGCCCGTCGGCTCCTGCCGCCTCTGCCGCCATCTTGTGTGTGTCGGCGCCACCTCGCGGCGGGGAGGAGCGCTGGGGAGCGGGGCGCGCCCTCCTCTGCCTGGCCACGCCCCTTCTGGCTGGCCGCGCCCCCATAGCGGAGCCGTGAGGGTCCGTGCGTCAGGCGGGTGGGGGCTGCTGGTGGGAGTGGCAAGAGGAAAAAAAAATAGCGAAAATGGAAAAGAAATAGGAAGCCTTTGTTTTAATCCTGCATGCCCCTGAGTCCATCGCAGCGCTGCAGCTGGGGTCTGAGAGTGGAGCAGAATCCGTCGTTCCTCTGCACTTAAGGCTCTCATTGGAGCGTTGGTGGCAGGGTGACAAAATGCAATGCTCCCGACCAAGCCCTGTCCCAAAGAGGACCTAGAATCATTCAGGTTGGAAAAGACCTCTGAGATCCCCAAGTCCAACCCCACCCCACCCCCTGACCCCCTGCCACATCTCCATGGTTCTGGAACACCTGTGCCAATGCATTATTACTCTTTCAGAGAATAAATAGTTCCTAATATCCAACCTGAACCTCCCCTGACAAACCTCGAGGCCATCCCCTCTTTTACTATCACTGTTACCTGGGTTCAGAGACTGACTTCCACCTTGCTACCAACTGCTTTCAGGTTGTGGCCTCCTCCAAACTGAACAGTCCCGTTCCCTCAGCCACTCCCCACTAGTCTTGTGCTGCAGACCCTTCTCTGGACGTGCTCCAATGTCTTTCTCATAGTGGGGGGCCCAGAACTGAGCGCAGCACTGGAGGTGCAGCTCCACCAGAGCCAAGAACAGAGGGACATCCCCCTAAACCTCCTTGGGAACATCCAAGCAGACATATTCAAACACCTCGGAAACAGCTTAGCTTACTTTCTCCTGCCTTTCTTTGGGGTGCACAAGCTGTCATCCACAAACTCTCATGAGCTACAGTTGTTCAACCCTTGCCCTGTGCCTTAAATGCTCCTCTGCCCTGGGCAGCCTCTTCCAGGGGAAGAACCTTTCTCTCATCCCCGCCAGACCTTCCCCTGACAACTCCATGTGGGATGCAGAGGTCAGTGCCACAGCAGCACCACGCTAAGTTCAGTCACCAAAGCATGCTTCACTTTGACATCAACCCAGCACCCAACAGCAAGGATGAATTCCCCCTATTTCCCAGAACTTGCTCGTTTAAGGACACCTTGTTAATTAGCAATTTTTTTTTATTTGGTTTCTGTAGCACTGAGGCACTCCTGGCTGTGCACCTTCCCCATGGACTCCCAGCAGAGTCCCTTATTCTCTGCCTCTAGGTAGGAGCCAATGGAATCCTGGAGATACTGCAACTGCCACAGGAATGGAGAGAAATGCACCCAGAGGCTTGCAGAAGCCTCTTTGGACAGTGGTGGTGAGTGAATGTACCTAATGTGTGTTCATGGCAGGAGCAGGAACTGAGGTGTTTAAGAAAACCGAGCTGTTAAGAACCGTGGAGATGTGGCACTGGGGAACACGGGTAGTGGGAGTGGTGGGGATGGGTTGCTGTTGGACTTGGGGATCTCAGAGGTCTTTTCCAACCTGAATGATCCTGTTTTTTTGTGATTCTCTTGCAGGGCAGGTCTTCTCAAAGGCCTCTCCCATCATTTACTCTGCTGCAGCCGTAACTTCTCCCGGACTCAGCAAAGTTTTTTCACTTTTCGGAGCACAGGCTTTCCTAGGCAGCTTCAGCTCCATGCCTGAAGGAACTGCAGGCAGTGATTCATCAGAGAGACAACACATCCCAAACAACCAGAAGGTCAACTACTTCTTAAGGCAAAAATATTTTGCAGTGATTTATAGCTGTATGTGGGAAAATAGAGGTCTTATATGGCTAAAGCAGGCAAACAATAGATGGGGAAGAATTTCTTCTCATCAACACTCGTCTTCCTTCTCACGGAAACATCACACACTTTGCATTCTGTAACAAAATGTAAGTTTTATTCTGTTTTATTAGTAATGGACGTGGAATAGCCGGTTGAAGAGTCGGGCTAATGTTTCATTCTCTTTTGACCAATGCTTAACCTAACTACAGTCCAGATGGAACATTTACACTGAGAAATACTTAGAGAGATTCAACCTCATACTCAAAAATTTTCTAGTACAAATACAGTTAGTACATAAAAAATGAACAAAAAAAAAATATCCCAGAAACTTCATAACAGCACAGACTGGTTATGGCCTTGAGTTAAGTTCAAGTATTTTCCAGTGGAATGCAATGCAAGCAACAAGGTAATCTGGCTTTTACGTGGGACATTCCTGGCCCTGAATGGTAAGAACAGAAACGCAAGGGCGGGCACTTTATCCAGCAAAGCTTAGTGAGGGAATCAACATTTATGATTAGTTCAGCTACAGAGCTAAACCCGTCTGGAGCGTGAACTAAATGAGTAACCTGCAGAAAAGAAAGCAAAGCATTAGTTGTAATACTGGCATTTCTTCCATGGCCGATGCTGCCCGTCGTCTGCTTGAAATTCCTCAAGCCGCCGGTTTGGTTTGTGGCGGGGCTTTTGCTTGTGGTTACACATATTTTGCCTTCCTATCCTTTTCCTGCCCTAACAGACACAGTAAAGACGGGATTTCCCTTCCTGCTCTGGAAGGGGTCACTGCTGCGGAGACGTCGGTGCCTTGGTGGTGGAGGTGACTCAGTGGAGCACACAACATCCTAAGAGCTCCAGAGGGCAAGCAGTGGAGGAAAGGGGGAAGTGAGCAATTCGGTATATCTAATTATAATAATAAGCCTCCATATTTATAGGGCTATCTGACTCATGCTGGTGGCTGGAGGAACAGGGGCGGCTCCTTCTTGGTATGGAGGAGCGTATGGGAGCTTGGCAGCCCACCACAAGATCCTGGCATTAAGCAGTCCTGCCAGCAGCGTGCCCTTTTGCTTCAATCCCTGTCAAAAAGCTTGGAAAAAGAAGAAAAAAAAAAATGGGAAAGTGAGATCAGCCCTCATTTGCAAAGCATTTTATACAAGGAAGTTTTCAAGCCCTACAGATGAGCAGGGCTGGCTGGGAGGACGGCAGAGTGAGCAGTTACCCTGCCTGATGAGGAGCTGGTATCGAACACCCAAGTGTCTGCCCCAGCTCCAGTGCTCATCAATACTGCAATTATTGACTCCCACTATGGAAAACAGCGTGTGCGTATTAAATGTGCTGGTGACACCAGCCTGGAGGAGGCTGCAAATCTGCTGCAGGACTGCCTGATCATCCCTCTTGGCGTGCTGGATCCATGGCACGGAAATGACAGGCTGGTGAAAGTAGGGTTGCTTGGCTTACAGCAGAGCTAACAGAGATAAGACAGTCTTCAAACACCCCAAATCTTCAGGGGAATAAGCCCTGGGCTGTCTGTACCTTCATGATAGCACTGCCAGCAGCACCCAGTCTCCCTGCGTTGCCCGAGTGGGTGGGTGCCCATATGTAGGCCAAGGATCAGCGTGGGCAGATATGTTTGTCCTACCACTGTGCTGTGAACCTCTGATGAACCGTGCTCAGAACCTCATAGTTCTGAGCCTCTGATGGAAAATTCACATTACAAAACATCCCTGCACGCGATGTGTGTGTGCTGCTGCAGACCAGTGCTGCTGCACGATGCACTGAGCCTCCTGTGGGATGCAGCTGCCTGTATCCAAAGAGAACAACTCCAGCAGCAAGAGCAGGCAGCGCTCCAGGCAGTGCCTCCTGCAGGATCGGGAACAAGCCTGGAGCTGTCTCCAGACTGTTACTCAAAGCCATACCGAATGTTTGCAGTTGGATACCTCAGAGAACATTTCTTTGCACCTTTTAAAACCTACTGTTTGCTACCAGCACTGTTCTCCAGGGGCATTGCACAGCTTTCGTGCTGGCTGGGGAGAGCAGATGCCCTCAAGGCTTCAGAGACTGATCTCAGGGTCATGAGTAAGAGCCCATCAAGAAGTAACATGAAAGGAATAGTGACATGAGGGCTTGTATGCTGGCGTGGCTGTAAGGGAGCAGCTCAGCACAGGAATGATGCTGTATTCTGTAAGGATTTAATTCTTCCTTGTAAAGTGTGATCTGGAAGGCTCTGCCTACTTTGCCTCCATGGTGGTGAATCACCACAGGCATCTCAAGAACGCCTCAGCTCCAGGATGAAATCACCCACCAAAGCACATCCAGCACCAGCAGGAGCCTTGGAGCTCCTGCAACTGCAAGGAGACTGCCTTAAAACCAAGCAAAGGCAACAAAATCTCTCCATAAAACAGAGGCAAACTTCTTGCTGCTGCCCTGGGTCCTGTCCACCAGGTCTTCTGCTGAGCCGCCTAGCAAGTGTATGGAAACCTGCCCGTTTCCCACTGACACTCCTTCTGGATCCAACAAGATTTCCCAGGGAAAGTGGAAGGCTGTAAAATTACCAGAGGGTTGATATCACATTTATATATATATCTCTATGTATCTATATGCACACACACATGTTCATGTGTCCATATATATGCTGACATGTGCACACACACGCATCGTATACGCGCTATGCATAGGTCTGCTGTCTGCCACTATGTATAACAGTTCGATTAAACAGAAAAACAAACCTGCCAACACTGATCTTCCCATCTTTACTCAAATTTAGCACGTGAAGAAGTCGACACCCTTTATGACTTTGTTTTCCTGGTTGCAAAAAGGCACTTTCTGATGATGTGAAGCAGCAGTTTGTTAAAAACACTGTAACTGCAGTGATTCCATCTGTAGCAAGCGCTACGCAGGCACCAGTACGAGCAGCAGTGTCACTGCCAACTCACACTGCGGAGTGTTTGGCCGTGTTTGCTTTTTGTTTCAGCACACAATGAAAGATGAAATCCATCAGTGCTGTGCTATGCATGCACCTCTGCTGCCTTCGCTTCCAGTGCTGCCTGCTGTGCACTGAAAAATTCCGGTGAGACGTTAGCTGGGAGCGTGCCGTGAAAGTTCATCGACGTATCAGTCACTTTCCTTTCTAATCAAGGGATCGGAAATTAATTTTGATTAAGGATATTTAGTAATTAAAGGCCGTCTGACTGCAGCACTGTGTGTGGGAGCTGCTCCCTGCTTCCATCACAGCAGGCTGTCCAGCCTCGGCGGGATGCAGCGGTCGCTGTCGCTCACTGGAGGTTCCCGGCTGGAGGACGTGTTGGAAAGAGGAAGGAAATGTCTTTTGTTAATGCACCGGAAGACAGTACTAAATTGGTCTGAAATTCCTTTTCTCTCTTGACTTCCACAGAAAAAATGCATCTGTGCCCTGTGAAATAAACTCGAGACATACTGAAAAACAGAACCCCAAATAAAACCCCACTTAACGCTGCCCTCTCTGCTGGCAGACAGGCTATATCCACACAGACGTCTTTCCATCCTTACTGCTGGAGCTGCCTTTCTCCAAGGACGCCTTGGGCTTAGCGCTTTGCTTCTCCTGGGCCGTGTTGGCCCTATTTTGCTCTACCACCGTGCCACCCGAGGCAGGGCTGCTGGTCCGGGAGGGCTGCGCGTTGCCCTGGCTGCTGCCATAGCTCTGAAACGCTATGTCCAGCTGCTCCTGGGCCACTCGCAGGTGTTTGTGGAGGGTGGACAAGTCCACTGGGATGTTCTCATCCGGGCTGGTGCACTGCTGCTCCTGCGCAACGTTAGCCAGGTTCTGCTCGTGAGCCATCAGGCTGTTGGGGATCTTGGTGGACTTCTCCGATTTCACCACCAGGTTGTACTCGGGGGGGCAGGAGATGTTCTTGGGGTAGGCGTAGTTGTAGGGGGGCTGCCTGAAGCTGTTGATTTTCCGGTTGCGGATGGCATCTCGGATGGTCCCGAAGCCCAGATGGAACATCTCACACATGTTCAGCAGCAAGCACAGACAGCTCACCACGTACATCACCAGCAAAAAGATTGTCTTCTCAGTTGGCCGGGACACAAAGCAGTCCACCGTGTGAGGACAAGGCAGTCTGTTGCAGACAAAATAAGCTTCTACCTCAAAACCGTAGAGCAAATACTGCCCTATCAAAAAACAAACTTCAAACGAAGCTCTGGTAAGCAGCTGGAAGACGTAGATTTTCATCAGTCCTTCCTGCTGGATTCGCCTCCTCCCATCGTGCTTTTGCTGCTCTTTGCTCTTGGGCTTGGCTTTGGCTTTCTCATTTTCTGCTGCGTCGTCGGAGATCATGGGCTCCTCTTCATCCGCCTCCATCGCGTCCTCCATGTTGCGCACCGCCTGCCAGTTCAAAGCAAACTGCTTCTTCTTCTTGAAGCCCTTGAACTTCTTCTCCTCCTCCGCTGACCGGGCGATCCGGTGGATGGCGTAGCCCAGGTACATGACTGAAGGTGTGGATATCATGATGATCTGGAAGACCCAAAACCGAACGTGTGACAGCGGGGCGAAGGCATCGTAACAGACGTTGTCACAGCCGGGCTGCTTGGTGTTGCAAGTGAACTTGCTTTGCTCATCAGAGTAGATGGATTCTCCACCGACCGCCGTCAGGACGATGCGGAAGACGATGAGCACGGTGAGCCAAACCTTCCCCACGAAGGTGGAGTGGTTGTGGATCTCTTCTAGCAGGCGGGTGAGAAAGCTCCAGCTCATGTTGGTCATAAGGGCTACTCAGTTATAACCTGCAGGAAGAAGGGGCAAAAAAAACCCACACAGCTGTAAGTTAACATCCCATCAACACATTTTGTTGCCCTGTTTCAGGATGGGAAGTCCTTGGGTAACTGATAATGAATACAATACAACATGGCAGCCACCTAGGCACACAGAAGGGTGCTCAACTTGTGATAGCTGCTTGCTCACATGCCATGGGCTCAGGCATCTGGGCTGAATGCAGGAGCAGGGGATGCTGAAATGTCTTTCATTAGTGAACCTAGAAAAATGCAAAGAATCAAAAAAAGAATGGGAATATTTATATTTACAGACTGACGTCCCTTTTAAGTCCCTCTTGAAAAACAAATGCTTAAATCAAATGCAGACTGTTTTATAAATAAACCTTCCAAAGCTTTCAGAGAAAACCATGCATTTATTAGAAGACCTGGACAGCTGGAGAGGAAGTGGAACCATTTTGTGCTCAGCTTGCCTTGCAGTGGGGTCTCACCCTGAGCTCCCTGGCATCATTGGAGCGCCTCAGCCCTCCAGGCATCACTAAAGACAGGTGGTAATTGTACGGAGGGGTGAGAGCGATGGGGAAAGCACCCGGACATGAAGGGCATCATGCTGGGGGATGACGACCCCTCACCCTCAAGCAGCAGAGAATGGGCTCATCCTTTCTGCAAACCTGCATCCCTCCTCTGCACCAGGCTCGTAACCTTCATTGAGAGCCCAACCTACAGCAAGCCTACCCAAATCCCTGTGCTGCCCCACAGCCCTTTCATTTACAGAGGTAAAAGTCAAGGAGGACGAATCATGCCACAAGACACGAGTCTGGTCCTGGCTCAGCTTTGCAGCACTTTTACATGGAGACACCAAATCACACCCCAAGGTTTGCACTGGAGGCTTTGATCCCGTGGATTAGGCCTGGAGTGCGAACAAGCACGAGCAACAGCAAAGGAGCAAGAAATGCAAGATGATTTGCTCTGTTCTCCACATTTTGCTTTCCTGGAATGTCATTTTGTTCCTGCTGCTTCTTAGGACGGGCGCCAAGCAGCTCTGGTTTGCTCAGCACCCGCCTTGCTGCAGCCCTGGGAAGCAATGATGCGGCCCAAGGCTCAAGATGCAGCGAAATTCTTCCACTGTCGAGGGCTCCCGAGAGCCAGCAGATGGAATTTTCTAACCCTGCTATTTCTAGATCAAACAAATCCTCTGCGAACCCAAACTTCCGAGTCTTCACACACCAGAGGGGGACTGTGGGAGCACTCTGCAGATGGTGCTGAGGAATGTTCCTGTCCTGCAGCTGGGGAAACTGAGGCAAGGAGTAAGGAAGCAGCACGGCCCAGCTGGGAGAGGAGGTGAGAAGGTCTCCTCTCTCCCCTTAAGTTGAGGGGAGAGAACCTGCTGAAGTTCTCCACGCTACAGGAACCAGAATCCCCATCTCCTGCCTCAGAAATGATGCCTTGGACCCAACAGTCAGTAAAGAAATACTGCTGCAGACACAGTGGTTCAACCACAAAATAATGTGGAAAGTGATCCCCACAGCGCTATTCTTTATTTATTGGAGAACTCTGGTTTAGCATTGCGTTTTTTAATTTTAGACTGAATAGAAGGGTGAAGATTTTTTACAGTAAGGGTGGTGAAGCACTGACACAGGTTGTGCACAGAGGTGGTGGGTGACCCATCGCTGGAGACACCCAAGGTCGGGGGATGCAGCTCTGAGCACCTGGTGGAGCTGTGGGTTTCCCAGTTCAGTGCAGGGGAGCTGGACCAGATGGCCTTTAAGGATCTCTTCCAACTCAAACGATTCTGTGATTCTATGACTATTTATTCAGGGATGGGACATCACCCCTTGTGAATGCCTTTGGCTTTTTTCAGACTCAGTAGCTCCCCTTCAAAGCAGAGCAAACCTTCCTTTGCTCTGTGTGCCTATTCAGTCATGAGCAGAATGGGGCACTGCCTGACTTGCAGGATTCACGCCGGGCCTCGGCCAAGACTCAGCAGGTAGGGGTGGCAAGAGGAGGCACTGGGGTGCTGATTGCCCACTGTGGGACATGGCACATCCATCTCTGGAGCATCTGTGCAGCCAGGGCAGGGCTGGGGCTTGGGTAGTGGACCCAGCCTGGTGGTCTCTGTGCCACCCATCAGCATCCCCAGTCAGCTGCAAGCTCTCAGGGAGCGTAGTGACAGGACAGGAGATAATGGCTTTAAACTAAAGATGGTAAGTTTAGGTTAGACAGCAAGAAAAAATCCTTCACAATGAGGGTGGTGAGGCACTGGCAGTGCTGCCCAGAGGAGCTGTGGATGTCCCTCTGGAGGCACTCAAGGCAAGGTGGGATGGGGTTTTGGTAACCTGGCCTGGTGAGAGGTGTTCTTGCTCACGGCAGGGGCTGGAACTGGACGGGCTTTAAGGTCCTTTCCAACCCAAATTCTGATTCTGTGATTCCATGACAGAGTTCCCACAGGTCAGTTACCTCCCAATAGCAGTTTGCTGGGGCACTGAGGACTTGACAAAGGCAACGATGGATTTTGGAGGAAATATTCAAGTTCTGACCTAACGTTTGTTAGCGAAGCACACACTGATTCCTCCAGGAAGCACATTTCAGACTGGAGCACCTGGCAACATCGGCTTAAACCCTTCACAATCCCCCCGCATCAGGGAGAGAAATCACAAACTAACAGAACAACCAGAAGGCCACTGCTTGGAGAACACAATCTGAGAATACCAACTACGAGCCACAGCCTGTGCTCAGCCTGCTGTGCACATCTGGACGGCAGCAACATGTGCAGGAAACAGCCCCCAGCTGCTCCTGTACTGCTGCGACCCTGCTGTGCCTCTGGGCATGACTGCACCTCAGTGACCGCGCTGTGCTCCCCCGTACCCAGACACACAACAGCAGCTGAAGGGGACAAGGGAAGAATCCTGCTCTGATCAGCCCAGTGGAGCAAGGACCGCGTGGGGCTCCAGCACGGAATGGATAGGGTGAGGGGGGTTTGTGGGGCTCAGTTATGTGCAGAGAGATCCCAGGGGGGACCCAGCGTCCCCGCAGCTTGGAACCCATTCATTCCAGCTGCACACATCAGGCTGACTGGCACCGGGCACACGTTTCACTTCCAGACAGCCACAAATAGAAGCTGGGATCTCTCAATGCGACAGCGGCGATTCGAGTGCCTTCGGCTCAGCCTTAAAATAGTGGAAATCCCACGGAGCCAGCAATTAGCTCTTGATTCCACTTTCTCACCACCAAAATCCCCTCTGTGCAATGGCAGATGCAGCTGTTGGAACTGGGAAAAAAACTTTAAAACTTGGGTCTAAAAGAAGCAGAACGAGAAGAAAAAAAGAAAAATAGGAAAAAAGCATATAGATCTAGCTAGCTTGACATCCTTCCTTTCTGCTCGCTTCCCACCCAGTTGTTTAAACCAAAGGCAAAACAATGGAAAATGTACTCACGGAGACATGGTGCTGCTTGCCCTCCTCCACCAGCATTCCTGCGCCTTGCCCTAGATAAAGTCCCGCCGTGCTCACGCCATGCTCCGCTGGGACGCCGAGCCCTGGGGCAGGATTTAAGGCTCTGCAGACCCCGCCTCTGGGGCAGCCCAGCTCCCACCCCAGCCCCTCTCCTCGCCGGGTGTCCCCAAGCTTTGGGAGAAGGTGCTATATATACCGGGCAGGAAGGAGGCATCGGTTTTTAAATCCAAACAAACCGCCGGCTCTGGTTTTAGGAACGGTGCCTGGAATTTTGCTGCCGAGCTCTTGAGCGGACTGGAAGTAAATTAATAGCATCGGCTAGCGGTGCTGGTAACAGATTTGTAAGACAGAGAGCATGACTAATAGGGAACATGTGGAAAACGCATTTTGGCAAAAGCTCCTTGGGTAGAGAGCAGGGGGAAAAAAAGAAAAAGAGGCAAGGCTCTGTAGTGAGAAGTGATCTGAAGGTCCTGCCTCGCTGCTTCCCCTGTTTATGGATAGGGACAGCTGGAAAAGGGTTTTGGGGTACATTTTAGGGCTTTCTGGTCTCTTTGTGGAAGGAAAAAGAATTAGTAAGTGTGGGAATGTGCGCGAAGCCTGAGGCAAGTGGAGAAGAGCCCCTGTCTCCTGGGGGCATCTCTCAGCCCTGCTCCATCCACAGGGACCCTTATTGTCACCAGTGGGGTCAGGGCTCCAGGTAGCTGTGGGGTCAAAGTGGGGAGCTGAGGCAGAAAACCTCCCCGGGAGAGGGAAGCAGCAGACAGGATCAGACCCAGCCTTTGAGGGGTAAAAACATGGGAGGAGCACATTTTGATCAAAGGGGACATACGATTTACCAGCAATCTTCGTCCCAAGAGGGTTCTGACTAAGCTGGGTATTCCAAAGAGCCCAGTGGGATGTGGGGTGGCAATTCCTGCTCACTGGAGCATCTCAGGCAAGCAGCAGCAGCAGCACAGAATCATAAAGACCTAAAAGATCACTGAGTCCAACCAGCAGCCCATCACACTATGCCCACTAAGCATCTTCTGCACCTCTCCATGTTGGCGGAGCATTTCAGCCAAACCACTGTGTCCACAGATCTAGGTGTATTGTGGTAACTTTAAATTACAAACTAATTACCCTTGTGCAATGATGAGCTAATTCATTGTTCAGAAGCAGCTATCTCTGATAGGTAGGTGGAAAAAGCCTCGTATTCAGGGAAGTCGGAAGTAGAGGTGAAGATGCCCTTGAGGGGTGGCTGTCACACTCAGAACAGGTCTGGGGAGGGATCTGGGGGGAAATATGCTTCTAAAGAGATTCAATAGTCATGGCCTGGGTTGAAAAGGACCTCAAAGATCATCTAGTTTCAACCCTCCTGCCATAGGAAGGATCACCAGCCACCAGACCAGGCTGCCCAGAGCCACAATCCAGCCTGGCTTTGAATGCCTCCGGGGATGCGGGGATGGGGCGTCCACAACTGTTCTGGGCAAAACGATCCTGCCTGCATGCTTCAGAGCTCAGCACACTCACAAAGCTTGCACTGCCAAAGGAGCTGGGGGGATATGGAGCTGGTTCCAGAGACCGCCAGATCTGTTGGATCTCCTCCCAAAATTCCTGGACATCTCCCATCGAGACCAGACCAAGAAGGATAAAATACTCACCCCTGCACAATCCTTCACATCCGGGGCAGCACAGGGTGTCACCTGGCTGGCACCTCCATTCTGCCATCCCACTCCCAACACATTTCACACCTGCCTTTACAGGACCGTGAGACCCACCAGACCTGAGGGATGGCCGCCAGCATCTCCTTCCCACCACAGGCTGGGGTGAGACCTCCAGCAGCTCCAGCTGGTGCAGGATGGAGCTGTGGAGCAGGATTATTAGTTACTTAAAAATAACTTCCAGACTCCGCAGGAGTGCAGGCAGTGGCTTTGAGATAAAAGGCAGCTCAGCGCAGTTCCAGTCCCACGGGTCACACAGGCTCTTCAGACTCTTTGCAAGGTTATTTATACACACAGTAATCTCTTCTGGTGGACGTCTTCTTGGAGCATCCATGCTGCAAACAAGCTGGCCATCATCTTCTCTTGCTCCAGGCTCTGGGGACTGCGTGGTTCCCATCACACCAACCCAACCCATCGCCTGGGGAAGGCTGAGCGTTTCCTCCTGCCTGCTTTCATTGGTTTTTTACCATTTGAGCAGGTTATGCAAGGGCCAAAACCTTGGCTGCGTGTATCCAGGGTAATAACAGAACAGCAGGGGTATGCACACTCATACACAGCCTGTGTTTTCTTCCTTCCAAGGCAGACACTGGAGAACAAACAGAGATTTTGTAGCCATAAATAAATGTTACGGCCTAAAAGAGCAATAGGAACCTTTTCACTCCCTGTGCAGCATCCAGTGCCCTGGGCTTCAGTTAGTGCTTGGCATTGAGAACAGGAAACAAAGGGGGATGGATGTGACAAAAGCCTGGACACTTCTGGCTGCTGGGGGTCACCTCACCCAGCTGACACCACTGGTATTCCTGACGTGTTTCTCTTGGCTTCCCACTGAAATGAATAACTGCAGTCGTTAATTACGGTTCTATCTGGTGTTACATCTTCCTGCTAAGTGATGAGTAGCAAACATACGTATCCAGTCTGGCCCCAGACCGACACAGCTCTGTAATGCATGACACTGAGTTCAGTTTCTTCTCTAATTTTCACCTTCTGGGTTTTCATTTGATTTGTTTCAAAACTACACGAAGTGAAGAAACGCATGCAAATAACGAGCTTGCTTATTAAAAAAGAAGACCCATGAAGCAGCATCACATGAGTTTGGAGACTTATTTTACAGAACCTAGAGAGAAAAAGGGATCTGCAGCCCACGGCTCACAGCGAGCGATGGTGAGAGCCACAGAGAGACAGGCTCAGCTCTTGGCTTTGTGAGCAGAAGTGACGCTTCGAAACATAAGAGCTAAATGGGGAAAAGAAGAAAAAAAGAAAAAAAAGAAAGAAAAAAGGGAAAAAGAGACAGGTTTTGATTTCATTAGTGCTTCTGGTTTGTTGCGCTGCTCTTTGCAGCCCCACGCCTCCAGCAGAGCCGTTCCAGAAACAGCTCTCAGCAGAGATCTTTGTCAGATGTAAACATGTGCTTCAGGGAAGGGCAGCCTCCGTGTCAGCGCTTCCTCCTGCGCTCCGCTTCCCTTCCTCCTGCCGTTATCTGCATTGTCTTCTGCTGGTCCTGGGCGGGCACCGCTGGGTGTGGAGGAGGAGGAAGATGAAGAGGAGGAAGACGAGGAGGACTGCTCCATGCCTGCCACTTGACTTACATCCAGCCCACGTTGTGGGTTCTCACCTGTCCCCTTCCTAGGGCTGTGAAATTGGCGTTTCCTCAAACACCACCTCTAGAAGATCACAGTCTTGTCCTTAGTCACAGGAATCAGAGAATTTGTACTCTTGTTTAGTAGCACTAGTGATTAATAACTCTGACTTTGCCATTTACGCCCTATTTCGCATACAAAGTGGGCTTTATGGGCTCATTTTTGCTGTAGAATCACAGAATGGTTTGGGTTGGAAGGGACCAATTCCAATCTCTGACACAGGCAGGGACATTTCACTCTAGACCAGGATGCTTCGGGTGTTGTCCAAGATGTCGGACTAATCAGGGCTCACATCGTAAGGATGCAGCCAAAACCTCAACAGTCTCACAGTAAAAATGTACAGGCAGGGTGAATCACACCCACGTTCAAATCTGCTCCATCACAGAACTCTGTGTGGGCTTCTCAGAAGAATGGTGGTGACGACCCTGGTGCGGATACGGCACGTCACCCCATCAGCACCGGGTTCATTCGTCTGTGCTCTCTGCTCTGCATCCATTTGGTGGCCCAGGTGGTGACGGGATGATGGCAGGACCCGGTGATCTTAGGGGTCTCTTCCAACCCCAGTGATTCTGTGAGCAGGGACGGTTGGGCGTTGTGATCTCCAAGATCTTTTCCAACCTTAGTGATTCTATGAGCGGGCATGGAGGGGCTGGGCTGATGGTTGGACCTTAACAACACTACGATTCTACAGTCTTCAAAGTTTTAAGCTGGATGACAACACGGCGGTGGGTCTCTGCCCCTTGCAAGGACCAAACTGAGAAAAAGAGCCCGTAAGGATTTTTGGCTGTGTGACAAGAGGATGCCTGAAAACAAGGCGAAGGCCGATTTCTTTAACACGCTCTGCAAAAATCAATTCAAGCTCCCAATCACCACTGAATTTGGAGCACGGTTTGGCATTGAAGAGAAGTCAGAAAACAGAATTTCTATTAAATTTGCTTTGGTTGGTGATCAGAGGAAAAAGCCAGATGTTAGCAGGATGAAGAATGTTCCTGCTGAAAAACAGTGCAATGTTTCCCTGGGATTTCACTGAATCATAACTGCGGAAAGGTAAAAGCACTTCTCTTTGAAAATGACAAGAAAAATCCAATAAAGGGAAATAACAATAAGATTTAAATCACAAAGCACAAAAGCCCAGAGGAAGCATTTAAGCTCGGGCTGGAGCACAGAAGATATTTATTCCAGCCCTTCCCGACTGAAATTTTCGCTGCACTGGACGCATTCCTGAGATAAATTTCGATGTTGACAAAATCCCCTTTTTTTTTTTATGATGGAACCTTTTTTTTTTCTGACGTTTTCAAGGCTGACATGCAAAGAGGTGGCAAGAAAAGAACCGTGATGGGGACACTGCCCTTCATAGCATTCTTCTCTCCGTCTGTTCTCGCTCCAAAGCAAGCAGACCCAAGGCAGAGATCTGCTTTAACAGCCAGAGGTCTCTGCAAAGGCCAAAGCGAGCAATTATTCCCTTTATTTGCTTCCCTTTCCTGAAGCAGCCGGAGAAGCAAAGAGGAAAAAAAACCTCCACATTTCCAACCCCACCCCATGTGCTGGGGCCAAACCTGGCGCTTGTGCTGGACCACGTCTCTCCCACCAACCCAGAGCATCTCCTGAACCCTCATAACAGGAAGCAATAAAGCTCCCAGCCGGCATTCCCAGCACTGCTGGCTGCCAGTGCAGCCCTACGAATCCAGCCAGGCTTGACTTGCTGGAGACCTTCCTGAACATGCAAAAACAAAAAAAATCCCCCCAAAATCAAAAGAAACCAGAGGAAGCGGATCTCCAGGCAATGAGTGGCTGTGCAACAGTTCACCTCCACCCCTCATTGCCCTCAGCTCCTCCTTTAGCGCTTCACTGAGCAGAGATGCACGGAGAGGAGAAAGGCCAGGGTGCATGGGAAAGATGAGGGAACTCTGCAAAAATTCAAGCGGCATCAAAAACGGCCCCATTTTGGGCTGTTCCAGGGAGCTGTTTTTCTCCTAGCACCCGTCCACAGGCTGCTGTTAGAGGGGAGCCTGGAAGAGCCCCAGGAAAAAGGAGGAGGAACAAGAGGAGCAAAGAGCAGAGGTTCGTGCAGCGTCCTGCAGGATGAACCCAACCAGGCTGGGAACTGCAACTCAGCATTTATGGACATCTTGGAGGTTGGAGATAAAGACAAAGTCCCAAAGCAAGGGCAGAACGCTCACCTCATCCTGCAGACACTGAAAATACATTATTTCATTTGTGCATGGTGGATCACTGACTCTGAGAGTCTGACTATTATTTAGCAGCCCCAGTCAGAAAAATGATGGTGTCACCTTCACAGCACATACCTCTCCTGTCAGACACACGGTGGGGACAAATGTCACTGTGACCAAAGTCCCGTACTACATGTAGCAGCTGTCAGGACAGTTCTCCCACCAGGATTTAATTTGGTCCATGTGGATTAGTGCAGCCCTATGTCCCTGCCAGAAAGTGGCAGCAATGAGAACCGGGTACAAAGATATAAAGGCTTCTTCACCACTCCAAAAATAACTGCAGTTTGCCAAGAGCAAGTATTTACAACACAGAAAAGACATGAATTCTGCATGAGGATGTCCCCCACCACTCCGTGTGGGAATGCGACCCATCTGGATGCGACCTGATGACCAGTACTAATAAGATTTAAACACAGCTGAAAGGGAACAGAGCGTGAGTCTAAAACATGATAAGTGTGGAAATAAACAGGTTGGATGTGCTGTTCTTAGATAACAGAGGAAACTGAAAGCAAAGTGAAAAGGAAACGGTACTACTATGAGATTTCCCACCCTTCTAGCTGGGTACCGGCACGACTGCTGCAGGTTTCTACTCACCCAACCAAGATTTACTGTTGCACCAGTATCACCAGTAAATATGTCAATGGACACTTAGGTAATTATACACAGAGATATTTAAGCAGTCATATCTACGTGCAGAAAAGAGAAATGAGAGACAGAGATGCCTGGAGGAGCGGTACGGTACCTTCCCCAGCAGAGCCGGGGCTGGGAGCATCGGCGGAGGATGGCTGCTCAGATCCAAAGGGGAGCAAGGAGTGGGAATGGCTGGGAGCCTTCCTGGCCTTGTTTATATAGGTGGGCCCCCACCCTGTGTGAGGCTTTCTGCACTGAGCCCCACAGCTGGATCCCCAGTGCCAAGAAGGCAGGACACGTGTGTTTTCGTCCCCAAAGCTCGCAGGATGGGTGGGATGGTGTTGGACGGGTGTCTCTGCCTGGAGATATATGGTGAGGTGGAGAGGTGCCTTCAGGCCGGTGTCCAGGTGGGAATGGAGCCAGGCCCATCT